CCAAGACACTAGAATCCTACTGGTGCAATAGATAATATTGAGTTTGATTAATCAGTTGCCCCTTTCAAGAGTTTAAGGCAGGACGTTTAGGAAACCATTCTATCTTATTCCCTGATTTTCCCTTAATTGGTTTGGGGAACCTGTCAGGCCAGTGGTGACTCAGTTATGTGTTCATCATTCAATAATTTTGAAAGACACTCCTACCAGTCCTGGACTTCTAATGTCAGCTCATGTGCTGTTCACCCTGACTCACTCCATCACACTCCTTATAGCCCAGAGCACAGCTATGGAGGCAATGAAGCTGGGGAAGAAGGAGAATCACTGAACCGGCTCAGTTGTGGACCACTACTTTCAGGTGTCTGGAATGCCTTGCAAATGACAGAGCCCTCTCTTTCCAGCTGATCACTTGAAATACTTCAGTTTCAGCAAAATTAGAGCAGGAGGAAGGAGGAAGTAGGGATGGTGACACTTAATGTTTCCTGTCTGCTCAAACTACTCAACTGTTCACTAACATATAACTGAGCGTCACCTGAGGTCTTTGTGAACTGTGTGTGCTTAGTTACAGTAACTTATATTTCATTTTTAAAAGTTGGGTCAGTTTCAGGCACTCCCTTGCTATGCAGTTTATTGGTATGCATGAGAATGCCTAAGTTAGCCTATGTGCAGAAATACCTGCATGTGTTTGCAGATGTGCATGTGTGTGAAAGGGAGGGGCTACCATATTTGGGCTGAAAAAATCCTTAGATATACTAGATATAGATTTTTGCAGCCCATATATTTGGGGAGGGGTGGGGGAGAGAGAGATTGTTTGCTTATGTGTGTGTGTTAAAACAGGGGTATTTGCCTACATAGTATGAGTGCACAACTAAATTGCCAGCTTTTGCCTTGGCTCCATGTATAATTGGCCTTCCCCCTTGCATTATACTTTTCTATGCAACCCCGTTGACTTTCTAGAAGCTGATAAAAATGGAGCTCTTCTGGAGGGCTTCTTAAAGTAGTCAGGATAGCACCATGAGAATTGTTATTTTTATACACTTCTGATTTTAAAACAATAATGATGCTGTTTTATGCTCTTATATTTTTACTTATATTACTTTACTTTACTTACATCATTTTGCTGTTGATATTTTTTATTTTGTAAAATACCAAGAGTGAAAAAATTGCAGTGGTAAAAAAAATGAACAAATGAATATTTTCTATATTATTAATACAAATGTTTCTATCTACTTTTCCACAAGTTTCATCAAGACAGTGTACAAAAATCAGGAAAAAAAAAATCCATAGGAACAAAAGTCCACAGAACTACAATGGAAACTTAAAAGCCATTATTGATAAATTAATTGGTGGTACTTACCATCCAAGTTTTTAAATCTAAAGTGGGCCATCCCAAAGGCAGTTTAATGAGAGTTAGGCCTACCCTGTAAAACATGAGTAAACAAAATATAGCCTTAAATTCCTCTCTTCCCTACCCCCACATGTAGCAGGTGTATTTAGCATTAATTCGAGAATGGACAACTTCCGGGGCCAAGGCCAGGTGTTCCTCCTAGACCACAAATATCCCCAAATTCTCTTTGCAGTGCTATGGTCCTCTGACAAAGTCAATAAAAACCATTCTGAGACAGGAAACACATGAAAACTAGTAGTGTAAGACCTAAAATAGTTTTTAAAACAAATAACCCCCTAACCTTTTTGACACAGCCCCATCTACATATGTGATACAATTGTACCCATTTTATATCATCACCCTACACCCAAATTAGAGCTGCAGCCCTTGGCCAAGAAAAAATTGCCTGCCTCCACATTAACCAGGCAGAATTTAATGACTCAATGTGCATGTGCCTGGGTGAATCTTTGATTCCAATTAATTTGTGCTTAAGTTAGCACCATTGGTTGGTTCAGCTGGACAAAGGTGGTCAAGCCTATCCCCATATGGGTTGATACCTTTCCTTAAATCAGTGTTCCTTAGGGTAAATTGAACTAAGGAAACCCATCCATTTATCCATCTTCCAGGAAAAGGCATTTCCCTTTATGGGTCACACCCTTGAAATAATGCTTGACACACCAAAGTAATTGAGAATTTTGCCCAGTGGCACTGCCTGCATGGGCAGGTTGATGCTCGTGATGGGTTGACAACCCTTACACAGAAAGCAACACAGAGGAGTCAGTGTGTCATTAGGAATTTCTTCTGCTGTAATTCACAATCATCTAACGCCCTTAGATACCAGTGTCCAGACATTAAGCTATACCAGCTACAGCTAAACCTATTCAAGATATATAGACCATATTGTTAAGGCAGCTATAAATGAGGTTATAGCATTATCAGCAGATGCAAAGGTGAATGATCTGCATCCCAGATTGTCTGGGTGTGGCCACTGCAGCACCTTCCAAAGTTGCTGTTACATAGTAATTTTTAATCCAAGAGAACAATTTTTTAACATGGACATACTATTACATTTCAAATCAGTTTAATTACAGTAAACATAATTTTTATCTTGGCCCTGCTCATATCTTTGTCCTGATCTAGCCACTTTTTAAGTGCAGCCTCTAGCATAATTAATTTATGTTCAGGATGGTCTTGAGCCAATAATTAGTTGCATGCCTCTGATGTATGGCTTTGCAGGCTTTTAGCACATCATCTTGCCCAGATAACCTGCCCAGATCTTGCATATCCCAATACTAAATAGGCCCATCTATTCTAGTGAGAAGAGGGAGTTGAGGGTTATGACAGCAAAATTGATTGTATCATTTTAGATACTACCTGGGGATAGCCATTCTTTCAATACACCCATAATTCTTTTTATTTACCCCTCCCCAACTTCTCTTATATTAGAAGGCGTCTTCTTGCTCAAGACAGCTTAATACAAATGAGCCCTCTTTCCTTTTAAGATCCAAATACAAAAGGTGCTTTTACCCAAAAGCCAAGAAAAATAAGGAAATACTGTACAAATATGTGCACAATGAAACTCCGCCCTTAGAAGAATCTTTGAGATTAAGTATACCATTTTCATTTTTAACCATTACTAATAGTCTTCTCTTTCTTATTCCTGCCCTCCTGAAAATGCCACAGTGGAGTGGGTTGTAAGAACTGATCCCACCACCCATTACCAGGAATTGTTTGTGGATAACCACATGCTTTCCTGACTGAAATAAACTGTTGGCCCTTTAATCATCTCTTGTCCAGGAATGAGGATGCACTAGAAAGTTACCATTATTTGTAATAAATTCACAGAACTAACAGATTGCAACAAGAAAGCAGGCACCCCAAAGGTTACTCCTGAGTCCCAAATAGCAATTCTTGCACATCCCACAGCTCCATCCTAATTCCACATAAGATGTTCCATCTCTTTGCCAAATTCTACATTATGTTTCTCTGTCCGCCCCCCCCGCCCCCCCGCAATAGCTATGACTTTCCAAAAGGTTTAGATAAAATATTTCAGTAATTAAGCAACATTAAAACCTTTTGTCATCCAAACAGGATTCAGGGATTTAGCAAGTGAGACTATAGGGGTGAATCTTTTTAAGATCCAGAATTGAACTAAAACTGGGAAATGGCCACAATGACGACACCCATAGCGGAGAGACATTTGGAAGGTTATCTTGCAAATAATATGTTATTATTTCAATATATTCCACTATACTGAAATAATAACAACACCCATGGTCCCCTTTCCTTCACAATTATTGTGTCCAAATCTCAGTTTTTCGCATTTTAACACCTTCCACATGCTTGCTAAGGTGCTTGGACATAACAGGGAGAAAAAGTTCAAAATACTACCATAGATAGCTGAAATGCCAAATATCTAGTAGCGATGGATTCTCTGAAGCGCAGATGGAATTTGATCTGCTCCAGAAACTGAAAGAGTATTTTTAATTTCAAGAACAGCAATAGATCCACTTTGGAGATTAACAACGACAAGGAAGCAATGAAAGACTCTGAAGATCACAAAGTTCTTCAGAAGCCTTTGAACTGTTTTCAAAAATAACCTGCCAGAAATAACCTGAAGGTCATACAAAGACCAGAGCATGGGGTTTCTGGAATTATATGCAAACCAATTAAAAAATCCTCCCCAACTCTGAAATGCCAAGAGGTAAAGGAAGTTATGGGAAGATGTGACATATAGGAAATCTTTCATGAGTCCAAGTGGTGCGTGGTATGTGCTGGATTCATCCTGTGGTGAGAAGCTCCCTACCCTTCTTTTACAAACATCTATGGTGAAAGGCCTATTCTCTCCAGAACAGTCACAATATGATCCATTCATTAACATAATTTGGGCCTGAATGTATATTAACTAAATTAGAAATTGTGCTACTGAATTTAAGGGATCTAGGATTGGAGTTCCTTGCTCAGCTTGGCATCAAGCCTTATCTAAACAAGTGTAAAGAAATCAAAGCAAACTGGCTATGTTTTTCTTCTAAGGGGACAGCAATAAGTCTGACCTGGGTACTGCATTTTTATTAATTCTTCCTTTTGAGTCATAGTAATCGGAAATACTTTCTCCTTAGATATTTGAATTTTCTCAAACAGCAGTACCTGACTTGCAATCCAAAGGAAATCAAGAGACAAATTAACCTATTGTACTCAGACTTTGGCCCCTTCCTTCTTTGATAATGTGATGTGCTTCATGTTTACAATCTTTGAATCTACATCCTGCACCAGCAACACAGAGAGAAAGATCTGAACTTAGCTCATTCTGAAGAAAGAGCTCTCTGCATGTCTGAAATACACTTTAGTTTACCACTTCCAACCTTATAGGACTGAGCCCCAACACTGCAGTCAAGTTAAAGAATAAAGCCTAGAGACAGAAAGAGATGGATAACATTCCTGCTAAAAATACTCTGAATTTCAATTACCTACAGATTCTTAAGCAAAGCAGTGGAATCTCTACAGCACGCGTGTTAGAAGGCTTTCTAATACTTGCTCATCAGATAACTGATATTTTGGGGACAGGAAGATGCAATAGTAGATGAAGCAGTAAATTAAAAAAAAAGAGAGAGAAATGTAGCCTTGATCATATTTATTTATTTAAACCATTGTCAAACTTTTGAAGTGAAGCCTACTCAGTTGGTTTACATAACAGAAAGCTTAACAATAGTAACAGCTATACATAACAAGAGAGTATACCTTGCATTTCAATACAAAAACAATACTATCAGCAATTTTTAAATCTAGTTTATAAATGTAGCCCAGCAATATGTTATTCAATTAAAATGGTGTGAAACCATCGTGGGGAGGGGGGAACAGAATACTTTTTATGCAGTAGATCTTGGGACCGTTTGCACTATGCCAGCTCAGGAAGGCATTCAGGGTCTGAAGGCTGCTGTCCCCGGCTCTTGAAAAGATGGGTCTAATTGTTTAATGTAGTAACAATTCTATGGCACAGTCTCAGATTTGCATTGTGATGGGACACACAGGGAATACCAAGAATGACAGTAAAAAAATACCTCATGAAATCTGATGCCTTTTAATGGCATTTGAAAAAGTGCTACCAGACTTCTGAGTTTTAGCTACCATAGACTAACCTGTCTCTCCTCTTACAGCATCAAGGATGAAGGTATGCGTGAGAAAAAGTGTGCAAGAGAAAAAGAAAAATTTCATCCAGAGAACATAACACTATGCAAAAGGCAATATACATCTAATTTTCATCTAATCCCATACAGATTAGATTATATAGTCCAACTATATAAAAGAATTAAGATTTTAGATCTGGGTTAGAAAAAGATAAATGGACAAATGAAAAATGCATACACTGGTAGGTGTTTCCTGGTTATGGAAAACACGTAAAATTAAACGTCAGAAGTATTTTGCAGTTGATCACTTAGCTGTTTAAACTTGACATTCTGTTCAAACACCTCATTTGTGGACAAAGTGAGTCGAGGAAAACAAATAAAGGCTGAAGTAACTTCAATTTGAAGAAAAAATATTGGCTGATACTGACAAGAATATATATGAATAGGTTATCATATGTAACACTCTCCTATCTATCTTCTGGAGCCCCTGGGCTGGCCACTGCTTTTATTCATATATTTAACTTATTAAATACTTAAACCCTCATCTTATTTGCTGTACCCTCACCTTCCTTCCTCTTCTAGCTTTGCCCATTTCCCTTTGGCTCAACCTACTTTGCACACCACCTACAACTGAGTGTCTACAATCCAAAACAGGTTACCTAACTCTTCCTTAAAAGTATGATGGAGAGCAAAGGACCCCAATCTTTTTGAGTCAGTGGGCAGACCTGGAAGTTTGAGAGCATGTTCAAGGACATTCCCAGAAAAAGTTCCATGATGGGCATTCAGCCCATGATAAAGCACCCCTTTACCAAAAGAGAAACAAAGTGCTTAGCTCTAGTCATTGGCCATTTGATTTTCTAAGAATGCCTCTGAGTCCCACAGGATCACTGAAAGCAGAATGGGGTTGACGTTTTGTGGGGTTGACGTTTTGCCCTGCAACAGGTTGGCTTTCCATTTTTTTTTTTTAAATAAAAAGAATCATTCAGGAATATGTCATGGGCTCACTATTACTCTCAAGCACTGTATTAGGGATCCAGAATATGGCAGCCATGGGCCGAAACCTTCATAGCAAGCCCATGATGATATATGTATCTGCAATCTTTTAAGTGTCACTGGACATAAAGCAAAAGGTATGGAAGGATAACAGATGCCAGGGAATTCTTCTATTTATGGCTATGTTGCCCATACAAATATTGACTAAAACTTGCCCTACAATTTGCTTTTACTCTGCAGAGTTTCACTTTAAGGGACATCTTCATTTACAGTGAAATAAACTAACCTTATCTGTCTCTGCACTCTAGTGAATGCTCAAAATTAACATTTCAACCACAAAAATTCTCTTCCACATGGTGGTGCTCCTCTCAGCAACTACAATGTTCAAAGTGCATAAAATGAACGAAAAAGGACAATAAATAAGCAAACAAACCACAGCGGTAAAACAGGGACCGACAGTCCCATATACTCTGAAATGTGGAACAAAGGTACAGCGAGGGGGCAGCTTTGACTGTCATATAATGTGAACTATGTACATTTACTCAGAAATAATACCTATAGGGTACAATAGCACTTACTCCAAAGTTATGTGAGCCTAAGACTGCAATCGTAGCAGTAACAATGGAACAGAAAGAGGAAGTAATTGATCGTTAAGGTACAGTGGCTTACAAAGCCCTACTGGTGACGTCCTCCTGCAGCAATGTTGTGCACTTTACTCAGCAACATGGAGAAAAATATTCTCTTGTCTTCCAGTTCTGCAGTGAAGTTTCCATCTAGGGCCCAGGACCTTCAGGTGACAATAAAATGAAAATAAAAGAGCAGATAAGTGCCACTATTCTCTTTACACTTGAAATACTTACACAAAAGGCATCAATACATCTTCAACAATGCTGTCTTCTACACTGAATTCAGTGAGACTTACTCCCAATTAAGTGGGTTTAGATTTACAACCTAAGCTTCTCTCACACTATTTAGGCCATATATAAATGTCATTTGTTTGGAATTACTTATGAAAAGAATTAAGTTACTTTTAGACATTTACTTTTCACATATGCACTGCAGATCCTTTTAAAGCAAATCTCATTGAAGTGTCATCCATAAGAACACACCTTAACATACTAACTGAAACAATTCTTTGTAAATATGCCCAGAATTGGGCATAATAACCTTTCCTTCTTTCAAATCCCAGCTGCAGCTTATCCATCTATGGGAGAGATTGCCTCTTATCAGTCGAGGGTGGCAGAAGCCTAGTTGATCTGTAACTTGATGTCACAAGTCATGAGACCAGCTTAAAATAATGTTATTTGCTAACATGGGGTATCTAGGGTTCTTTTGTTTGCTCAAGATTTGAAAACTATTGTCACAGGACTTCTCTTTGCTATCAGAGGGAAACTCAGTGAACTTAGTTGTGATTCAGTATCCGACTTAGTGATCAGTTCATCATACATCATGCTCGGCCAGAATGCAATTGATTTGGTTTTAACTCTTTATCCATAAGAGGGTTAGAAGTAACATCACATGCATCATGACACTATTACACGGATGTCACAGTTATGTAACCTGCATCAGTTGCATGGTGATTTATTCAATAATATGACACTTGTGTGATGTCACTCTAACGTCATCATAGTTTCTAACAGCACCTATGTGTTAATACACTGTATGAACCTAGCAAATGTTTGTGAACCATACATTGTGGTTTCATCAACAAACCCTAGTTAAAATAAGCTACAGCATGACACAATATATAAAGCCAGTTTTTACATAGGTAACTAGAATTATGTGTCAATTGCCCTTCCTTGATTACTATATAATCAAAGTCCAAGAAATTGTTTAAGCCATGAATTTTTCTCCCACTGAGAATCTCTTCTTCCTGGAAGGGAAAGCAAGCAAGCACTACCTAGTTTATACAAAGCCTCCAGCAAAATAACCTTCATCTGCTTATATCTAGCTTTAAGGACACTTTAGAATTTATGTGATGATCTGGCCACAAGGTACCTTGTGTGGCAAACGTTAGAATCAAGCCAGAACCTGAGGATGGAAATTCTGGCTTTGGCTCAATTCTAGGCCACATGCTCCCAGCAGAAGGTCTCTACCACCACCTATTAACTTTCTCAGATTTACCCGATTTGAAGAATAAAACCTAACACTCACATTTCAGTTTCTGTAATATGCAAACTGAAGTAGCTGTAGGGTGGTGAATCTTACACACTCAGAGGAGATCCCACGACATCTTTTGTGATACAGTTTCCCTAACACCCCTCCCCACCATTTCATAGGCATGTATAAGTTGAGAAAATATTATAGCCCTTAAGCCCAAACTGAGAAAGTATCTAAGAAACTAGAATTCAGGCAAACTAACCCTACACAGATGCCCAGCCTGAAGACAGAAGGGTGAAAAGGATGGCATGGAGGAGGGCTATTAGCAGTCACTGTCTCCTGGTATGAACAGCAAGATTCAAAGGAAACTTGTCAGCATTTGCCTCCATGACTGGGAACCCTAATGCAGGCAGGGCAGAGAATGAAGGCTGAAGCCCTCTTCAAATCTCATCACTCAGTGCAGCAAATAGAAAAAAGGGAGGACGTGGACCAGCATGGCACTTCATCATTATCCATCTACACCATCAGTGCTTAGGGCTGCAGGCTATATGTGTATGTCTGCTATTAATTAGTGCTGGTCTCTCAATTCAGTCCAGGACTAAGGCATGGGAGGGGAGGAAAAAAAGAGGGAAGATGCAGGCAGTGGGAGAAAATTGATTTGCTCAAGGCAAGCTCCTGTAGGCAACCTAGCATATCCCAGATATTTTTAGACTACCCCCCCAACTTTTGCTATTGGCCATGAAGGGGGTGGAAGTCCAAAACATCTGGAAAGCATCAGGTTGCCTTCTCCTGGTATAGCAGTACAGTATTTTGAAAGGAGGTGAATTAAGGAGGGTTATGCATGCTAGGAAATTAAGATATCCTCCCTGCACAGAAAGGGAAATTTCAGAACAAAATGGAAGAAAAACAGGAAGACTCTTTTCTACCACGGTAATTCTATGTAATTGTAAGACGTGCAGGTCCGAGAGACTACAGCACTAGGAGAGAAAGAAAAAAAAATGCATTCCTGTGTTTTATGCAGCTCTGCTTGTTTCACAGCAATGGCCAGGTTCCGCTGTCCTTACAATGGAAACTACCCTGACAATCAATAGCATGCAGCTGGGATGGCCAGATCCATAAGACAAGGCTCCGATACTTCTATGCAAAAAAAAAAAAAAAAAAAAGGACATTTGAACAGGTGTAGCTTGTTGTGCAAACAACATCTGCTGAAATTCTCAACCCTGAAAATCACCAGGAGCCCTGACTTCTTGCGTCCGGCCACCTAACTCATGGAAAAAGACAGCCCCCAACAGATCATGATGTCACTGCTCTCCATCTGCCATAAACCAGACTCAGCTATGGTGCCAAAAGCACCAGGCAAGAACCAGAAATAGCCACGTAACAATCAGGTGCAATCTCATCCCCAGACCACACAGAACATACGCACTTCATCTTAACAAGGAATTAAGCGTTTCTTTGTTACTTATTTCTATCTATGGAATAAAGCTATTTTGCACATGTAAGGCACTGGTGCTTTGGGGGGAAAAAAGGCTTGATATTTCCCTTGAAGCTATAATTAAGTACAGTAGGATTATCCTTAACAAGTCTTCCTCTTCTTCATAAAGGTCATCTTATACTGCCAGCACACACTGGAGGTTTAAAAACACATAGCCTTCTCGTTGGAGTCCTGCGCCGCTCAGCGTAGCAGGACCCTTCGGCCTTTCAGCCTCCCGGCAGGCAAAAGTAATGTTCAAAAATCAGCAGGGGAAGCTTTCCCCACCGATCCACTGCCTTGCCGGCGAAGCTGCACCTACTGATCTACCGCCTTTGCAGCGGCTGTTCAAGGGCAGGTGTCCTGTAGAAAGCCGAGGACGACTCCTCCTCCTCCGCTGCAGCACGGAGCCGTCCGTCGCTTGTCCTAGGAGAGAACCGAGCGCGTCTCCCTACCTCGCCAAAGGGCAGCGAGACGCCGTCCCCTCTTGCGTTAAGCAAGGCTGCTGCCGCCGCCGCCGCCGCCTGCGCTCACTAGGCCAAAGAGGAAACGGGATTCCCAGCAGCGGCAGCTCGCGCCACCTCCCAGCTAAGCTTCGCCGCGCGTCTTGTTCGCGCCCGGCTATTCGAGCGCCGCCGCCGCCCAGCCCGAGGCGGGAGAGCAGGGGAACGGCTCCTGCGGGGAGCTGGTGAGCATCCAGCGCCGCAATCACCATCCAGTTCCGGGCGGCGGAGCCTTTTTGCTAAGGCGCTTCTCTTTCTGCAAAGCGGCGCGCCTGGGCTGTTTCCCCGACGAGGCGGCGGTGGGAAACGAGAGCGCAGAAAAGCAAAGTGGAGGAAGGCAGACGTGGCTGGGGGGAGGCGGAGGGCTGGTGTACACGCCGCCCACGCCCGAAGCGGGAATTGAAGGCAGAACCGGTGGCCCCAGCGTGGCAGACCAGACTGCGAACGTAACCTTTGCAAATTAAGGATTACCTTTGCAGCCTGGCCTAAAACGGATTTAATTCGGGATTCAGGGAAACTGGCGTATTTACGGGATGCAAGCCTCGCTTCTTTCGAGGGGGGTTGCTGCCCAGGATGTGGTTTTTATGGGTTACTGCTTTGCAGCTTGACCCCTCCGCCCGTATTCTTCTTCACACACGAAACGCGCGCGAGTTCGCACCTAGCTAGCTTTCTAAGGCGTGCTGACTCTTGAGAAGCGCCTCTCAGCATAAGGGGTTTCAGCCTCGCTCTATCCAGAGTCATTCTGGGAAGGAAACTCCCCGTCGCTTCTAATGGGACGTGCTATAACTTTACTTCCCAAGTGGTTACAGGATTGCAGAACGCTCCTAGTTGTGCAAATGACAGAACCACCAGCCCTGGCTTTCCCCATCACGAAAAGCCCGCCCCCTCCCGCTCCCCCGGCCGCACCGGGATGTTGGATCTTCTAAACAGCTGCATGACAGGCAGAAATTAAACTGCTGCTGTTCACCTCCCCACCCTAATTAGTGCAGTTCCATGTTGGGAAATGTTCAGCTGTTGAAATTCTGTCATACAGCTGTTAGTGGCTCAGGAACCCTGCCAGATAATAAAATAAACCCCACTTGTTTGCAAGCTCTGGCTCAACTGTTTTTGTAGCATCTTAGCCAGAGTTGAGCCTGAATTCAGTGCCGGGGCATTATCAATTATGAATGAAATAATGGTTTTGAGAGTCCTTGTGTGCATATGCTAAACACGTTTCTCGGGGCGTTATCAAATCCAACACATGCTAGCTAGATGAACAGTCAGGTTTTATAGCCTAGAGGACGAGACTTCCAGGCATCTTTCGGTTTCAAAATAAAGTAACATCATAGCTGCAGTTTTGCTTTCCTTTTGTGGTAGGCTCTCCCTCACAGAGAATCATCAGCCTCAGCCAGGATGATCTTTTCATTTTAGTGTACTGGGGGCACTTTATAAGAAAAGTCCAAAGGAAAGACATAGTTTTTGGGCAGATGTTGCTGAATTGTTGTAAGATGATTGCTGATCTGCCCTTTTATTGTGTGGTAGGGAAGAGTAACATTTTAGAGATTGGGGCTGCCTGCAACTCAGCCAGCCCTTTCTTTATGTTCAATAGTTATATCTTGCCCCAATTCCAGCAGAGTCTGTGTGGGTAATACCAAGATAAAATGCAATACAAAGATGCAAGGAAAAAGTGAACGACATAACAAGGCACTGAGAAACAACTACGGGCCAAAAGCTCACTTGGACAAGATGGTTTTAACTTGTTTGCAAAGGGAGGGAGGGCATTTCAGAGAGTAGGGAGCCACCACTAAGAAGGCCTGTCATGTGGTCCATGTTACCTGAACCTGCCAAAGAGGCCTCAACAGGCCCTCCCTAGATGTCCAGACTTGTCAGGCCAATGTTATCCTGGTAAAGTGTTGTCTGATTTATCCCACTGCAGTGCCTTAGATGGCCTCTCAAGGATATTTTTTTCTCCAAAATGGAATACTCAGTTATGGGACACTAACTGCTTATATGGTTACCTTTTCCCCCTTCATTATTATAGTGCAGGGAGGGTGAAACTTGGCATTTAACATTTTTGAAGGCCTGAAGACTACAAAGTGGATGGGGTACTTCCTATATGTGGACAGGCCCAGATTTTTTTGGGGGGGAGAGTTTGGTGGGTTATTTATTTACTTATTTGAACTTTTATTCAGAGAGTTACACTACAGGTTTTATGCATTTCTTGCTAGACTGAACACCACGAAGGAGCTACTAAGAGTCCCCCCTCACTTGTGAGGTACATGGGGTGTGGGCTAGATAGCAGGCCTTCTCAGTGGTGATCCCACCACCACGGAATACCCTCCCTCGGAAATACATGAACTATGTATGTGAAATCCTTGCATTTCACAAGGCTGTGAAGAGCTTCCTATCCCAGTACTGTATGCCTTTAACCTGGATTGATAGTGGGCCACTACTGATTGTATAACAATCATTATTATTATGTTGTTGTTGTTGTTCAATATAGTGTTTTTACTGTATATTGCCCAGAATCTCAGTTGATTGGGGCAATTCATAAATACTATAACTAATAAGTCAGGAAATTGCAGATTTGAGCTTGGGCGCTACATCTGTCTCTAGGGCCTGTTCCTACTCTAGAGTAAAGATGCAGTAGCCTAATTTAGATAAAATCAGTATGTGATGATGAAGAACTTAAATCTTCTTGCCTCTTCTTTTGCAAACATTTGTGTGTGTGCACCTGCGCTCATACACACAATGTGCCCAGAGGTATAGAAACTTTAAAAATATTTGGGACTTTTGAAACAGAAAGAGCGTATACAGGAATGCATCCAAGTTAGAGGATCTAAGCTGTATATTGTGGACATCAGTGCAAAAACACACTGCTTAACTTGGAGAAAAGGAATACAGATCTTCCATTGCACCCGTCCAACTTTTCCATCTCCCCCATCTTCTGTGGGGTGCAACAGTTTTTGCATTTGTATCTGTGTCGTAGGATCTATACTATTCCCTGACACCTCAGACCTGCTCATATAATTTGCCCTCGTGAGTGATACCACATGTTCTGAAGTGAATTGTAGCTGGAGAAGGAACTGCAAAGAAAGCAGTTCCATGGCTGAGAAGCAGAAGGCTTACGTACACACACCACCACAGATCTCCTAATCTGAAAGGACGCTCCTACAGCTTGGACTGGCTGCTCCCTGAGAGAGGAGGAGGAAAAGGGAGGGAACAAGAAAGTGGGTCAGGAATGTAACTAGACTCTATCCACCTCCCCACTTGATTTCAGAGACAGGCGGCGGCCCTGCCTTTGCGATGGAAAGCAGGCCTTATGCTGTTGATGTTCCTCACGAACCAGGCTGGCTGATGGTTACTAAGGGATACTGAAGGATGCGTTTCCCTGTGTCTCGTGGGGGGAGGGGGGATGGCAAATTTTTTGGATGCAATCAATGACCTTAGGTGAGTTTTTCTAAATGGAGGAGAGGTAATCTGCAACAGGCCTTAAGGAGGATGGAAACAGCAGTCATGCAAACCGCAGTGTTTTGTCCAGGAGGCCGTAAGCCTCAGCATGTGGATGGTCCTCACAGTTTTTAATTCTTTCCCCTGCACTTTTCTGTTCTTGATGGGCAAATCTGAAAATAGTTTGCCTTAAAAGAAATGCTATTTTCTGCACTGGGTACATGAGCCCTCAGAGTTGGCTAACCAGACAACTTTCCATTGGGGCCTTGAACATTTTTTTTAAAAAAGCTTGTTAGCAGCCAGACAATGGCTTCTAGCTTGTGCTTAGCATTCATCCTTACAGTTTCAGCATGCCCCTGGTCTGCCATCACAGAGTGTTTTATAGCCTAGCAGTTTATACTCTTGTATTTTATCTTATATATGTCTTTATATAACCTTTATGTCCTCCTACGCCTCTCTATACCTTCTGTACTCCTATGCCTTCTTTTATTGAGTGTATTCCTTTCCCAGGCCTTATGCCGGTCTTTGACCATAATACAGATTTCATTGGGTTAGCAGGGGCATCTATGGGAGGGGCGGTGGGTCAACAGTGTTAAAACCACAGTAACCGAAGCCTTGCCCTTTTATATGAGTGTCATGCACTTTCAAAGGGGTGGGTCTTTGGTTGCCTGATCATGCCTGCTGTCTTCATGCTGTTGACCCCCACCCCTGAGAATGCCTGTTCATGGAAAAATAAGCCAAACAAAATGCATAATCTGTGTTATTTTGCACAAGGTAGCTTTTGGGGTTTTTTGATGCTGCACTAAACCATAATGTGGTTTAATTTTAAAAATCCGAAGAACAAGAGCTTTATTGCCTAAAATTACACTGCAACTCCATTACTTTTATGTCCAATTCATACTATACATAGGTATAAAGAATACATAATCTATGGATAACATCCGCTGGTTTCCCACATGGTTTGTTTAACCATGGTTTACTAAAATAGATCCCAACTGTCTGGGTTTGTAAAACACATTAAGCTGTACATGTTTTCTGGACTATATGTTGTTGAAGTTTATGGACAAATTTTTCAGATGCCAAACTCAACAGATTTTTTTTTTTATTACATTGTTACATCAGAACCCAATCCTTATATTTTTAGGAAAGTGCTAAAGATGAAGTAAATGAACTGCAACATCTCTGCAACATCACAAAAATGTGATAATTGGATTTCACATTTTCTTAAATGTGAGTTAAGATTATGGGTAATGCTAATCTGTTTGACAAGTTCAACTGGATTCTTCCAGGCTAGAGAGAGGGAACCTTTTTGCAGCCAGGGGGTTACTCTTTTTAAATTGATGTTTTTGGTGCCTGAGGGCCACAAGGAGAATGGCAGTAAAATGGTAACATCGCTGGAGGGTACATTTTGGGAAGATTTGAGATTTTTAAAATGTTAATAAATGCATTAAGCACGCCTCTGGATTTATCCATTTTATGTGATTCCCTCCCCTCATCAGCATAAAATGATTATGTCATGGTTTGCTATACGTTTCCAAGGTCCAGATTTCATGGGTTGCCAAAAGTTGGCTTCAAGCCAAAAAGTTCTATTTTGGTCTCATCTGTCCGCTATTAGTTCCTTAGACATTACCCTGGGCTTCTTGGAGACCTCCCAGAGTTTTATGCCTGTTGCTCTTGGTGTGATCTTGATTGGTGACAACGGTGTTGAATCGCCTCCATTTGTACACAATCTGCTTAACAGTGGCTTGGTGGGGTCCAAATTCTTTGGAAATAGTTTTGTAGCCTTTTGCAGCTTGCTGAGCATCAATAACTCTTTTTCGCAGTCTCAGAAATCTTTCTTTGAGCCATGAAACACTTCTATATACCTGTGCTGTGAAGATCAGACTTTGATAGCGAATACCCAAAATTCTGTTCTTTAAATAAGGCAGGACCTCCCACACTCACACTTATTATCAACCCATTGATTGAAACATCTGACTCTAATTTCCCCTTCAAATGAACTGATAAACCTAGAGGTTTGTGCCACACACAAATATGTCACTGTGGATCATTTTCCCCAATGAATAAATGAACAAGTATAATGGTTTTGACTCATTCGTTTAATAAGGTTCTCTTTATCTAGTTTTAGGACTTGTGTGGAGAATAGATCACATTTTATGTTATATTTATGCAGAAATACTGAAAGTTCAAAAGGGTTCACAAACTTTTAAGCATCACTG